GATCAGATTCCCCTGAAAAACTGGACAACTTCATCAGCAAAAGGGTGTTTTAATTGGTATTATTTTACAGACGACACATCCTAAAAAGTTTGTAAGGCGTTTTTTTTTAAAGTTGGAGGGAGGATAGCCGAAATTACCGAAAAAATGAAACTTTGTATAATAATCAAATTCATAATGAGACAATCGTGAAATCTTGCCCCGACAAAAAATTCAGTACAATGGCTAGACAAAAGGAAAATTCTAAATTTTTTATCATTTCGGCTAATAATTTTATCTGCTTGAAATTTCAACTGAAATGGCAGAAAAAGTCGATGGGACTTGATTGGCTAATTAGCCAATCAGGTTCAGCCACAATATATTCAATTCAAGAGATTTAGAACTAATGATTTTGGGCCATTTAGTGCATAAGACCCATGTCTGCTCTTATAATGGGACCATTAGCAGTCTTACGAAACCATACTTTTAAACGAGTACCCAAAATTTTGGAAGTCCATTTCATTCGTTCCGAATATATACTTGCTATTAGTGTAGTTGCTTTTTTACTTTTTGCCCTTCACAACCAATAACAAATAGTAAGTGGTATAATCAGGAGTGGTACTAAACGGGCTTGCGCTTTTCCAGTCGGTCCAAATGTATCGTTTTTTGGGCGTTATTTACATCGAGGCTTGTTAAGTTGTATTTAATCAGGATATATGCTGTATTTAATTAGCCCCCAAAATTGCTAGGCAACGAGAAAAACAAATCAACTATTTGTGATTCTAAGAAAATCAAAAGTTTCTTGAGTCAAGTGATGTTTCGGGCAGGGGCGGATCTAGGATGTTTGTTTTTATGTGGGAGAACTTTGTTTTTATATATAAAAGTTTTGAAAACGTTGTCAACCTTTTTTTAAGGTCGATCTCATTGATTTTCTGAGCGCTTCCATAACATTATAAAAACCCTAATTAGAAAAAAATTTGACAAAAATTTACAGATCATCTGAAAGTTAATGTTGTCTGGAGCTCACTTTTCAAAAGATATTTTACCTGCGGTTTCTTTTGTAAATTTCTTTATAGTTTGCCAGTATGTCCTATTTGAGACAATTAACGCGCAATATATTTCACTCCATTAACGAGCAGGCGGAGATTGAATCCGTATTGAAAATTGTTCCAAGTTGGTTGAAGCAAGCTATTTGCCATATTTGCTACATTACTGAAACTAAAATTTATTGCATTGTTTTTTGTATGGTATATGGGGGATGCATTTTTAAAACCATTTTGAAAACCTTTTTAACAATGTGTACATTTTCCTTATATTATCATTTTTTAAAAAACAAACACTGCTCTATAGACCATAGAAGGTAGTCGAGTCGGATCATTCATGGCTGTGCCTTGGTACGAATAGTTTTTACAGTTTTTAAATTTAATTAAGTGAAGAAAAAATTGCGTGTTTTACGATTTCTAGTGTTTTTAACAAACAGTTTTGTATCATCTGAGAGATCGAACTATCATTGCGGTTTTAGGCTGAGAGAAAATTTTTGAATTTACTCCGGTAGTTGTCACTACTATGGCTGGAGCAAATAGATACTAGTGTAGACTTGAAATTAAGCGCAAAGTCAAGTCTTTACTCTCTAAAATTATTTTAATGTGCGTTTTGGACAACATTTACTTCAATTTCCAAATTAATTTTTTTTCAGACCCAGAACAAATGATCGAATCTACCCTCTTAAACTATCCTTATTTGGTTTTAAAGACTTAGCAATGAAATCCGGGTCTGAAAGTTTACTAGCCTAACAAAGTAAGAAACAGCGGAGTTTAGTAAAATTTCCACTCTTATTACTTCCCTTTTTCTAGCTGAGATTGTTTCACGTCGTATGAACACTGTTTTTGCTCCAGTTTTTCAAGAAAAAATTCACTACGATGCAAAACTAAGTATAGATGAGAACAACTCGCATTTTCGAACCATTATAACATTGTAAGTATTTAAAATCAAATATCATTAATTTCATAGATGCGAGCTCTGATTGTTTTTTTTGTGTATGTATTTTTTTTGCTAAAATGAAGTAAAGGAGATCAAAAATGGACTCTGAAAACAGGCATTTTAGAGATTAAATGTCTGAATTTGCGCGTAACTTTGTCCTGAAGTGTATTTCCTATAACATATTTTTCCAAAGTAAAAAATGACAATTTGGCCCCTTTTTTGCTATACCAGCATTTTGGATACATTATTAATAGCCAAATTGACAATCCATTAATTGATAAGGTTTTTATCGCAGATTGAGTTTGTGCTTTTATGCCCAAACTAATGCGGATAAAATTCGAATTATTAGACAGTCGTCACCAAAATTCAGTATTTACAGATTGTCGTGATCGGAAGTTAGTATTTTCGGGCTTAGCAGACCAATGTTATGTGTTTGCAACCGGCGCAAGCCGGGAAACATATTCCGCAACCGGCACAACCGAAGAATAGTTTACCGCGACTAGCGCGACTAAAAAAAATAGCGTTTTTTTTCTGAAATTTGAAGCCTGCTTTTTGTAATGACATGTCACCAAATTTGTATATTTTACCTTCAAGTATCGTTTCTCGGCTTCTCGATTGAAATCCTGCGAAACTGCCACGTACGTGGTATGTTCTGAAATTGTTCCAAGTATGTTCTGAAAATGATGACTAATTTTCACTACATTGTCTCAACTATTTTTAGGCTATCGCGACTAACTTTGAAATTTTAGGCTTGCACTTAATTCCAGCCGCACAATTAGTTTGGAAATTTGTGCCTCTGGAAGAAAAAAATTAATTTTCTCATAAAAATGCGGCCCATCACGAGGATTATGGAGATTTTTGGGGGTGTTTTCAATTATATTCAGCCCCTCTCAATGATCATAGAGGACAAACAATTGAAATTTTCACACAACAAAAAAAGATTGATAGCAGTAAGAAAGGCATAATACTAAAAAAAATTGTCAAAACGAAGCAGCTGACTTAAACAAGCCTCAAAATTGCTCTTTTCTTTTGTTTGCCCTTTTCTCTACAAAAAATTCATAAACATGAGCGCAAATTCGGTTTCTTTTTTCGCTTAGTTCGTACTTTGCGCATATTTTCAATTAGTTAAGCGATAATAAATGTATCAGCTCTGCATTTGTAAGTAGTATTGATCCACGTTTACATTTATATTGTTTGAGGGGGTAAAAGATAAAAAAGACTGTACTGCAATAGGTCGAACTCCACCAATTACATTTAAATTTAAGACGAAAACCTGCAGCTGTGCGGAATAGAACCCAAACGGTGTTTTTTTTTAAATGGGCCTTTTACCAGACTTGATACACAAACTTGATCGGAAGATGTAGTGACGTAGTTTAGTTTTGTTAAAGGCAATCATTTCACACTTCTTGACTTAATATAGTTGCGCTATTCTGTTATGGTCTGGTAAAAGGTTGGTCTGGTTATAAAAAGACCTACCCGCACTGACAAACTTGAGATTGAAATCGATGAAAAAGTGTATAAAAATCGATTTACGATAGCCCATTTAGGTACGTAAATCGATTTAAAATGGATTAAATGGATTTTTACGGTAGAAAAAATTCGATTTGTTTGCATAAAAATGGATTTAAATCGATTGAAATGGAGTTTTGCAAGGTAGTGAAAACCATCAAAATCTCAGAACAAATTGATTTACTAAGAACAAATTGATTTGCGAAACAAAGAAAAATAGAAAAACTAATAAGAAAAAATCATTTTTTGTGCAGAAGATTTAGATAAAAGTTATCCTCATAGCTTTTTTTCAGACCAAACGTCAAAACGAAAAATTTATTGAAAAGCACATGTTAAAGTTTTATTTCCACGATTTTTCTATTGTTTGATATCTACAAAATCTGAACATAATCTCTATATAATTTGTATAAAATGAGTATACAAAAAATACCCAAAAATCGATATCAAATCCGTAGGAAAAAAAAGCAAAAAACATTGACAAAAAAGGGTTAAAATCGATTTTAAATCAATTGAAATTGGTTTTTAAGCTACGCTTTTCTATTAAACCAAATCGACTTCAAATCGATTCAAATCGATTTTTAAGGTCTCCACTGCATTATCTGTATTAAACGGGTAGCCCCTGTTTGAGCATTGTCACTGAAACCCACTAGCAAACAATAAGATTTATTAATTTAATTGATAGAGCTGATAGAGGTAAAGTTCGGTCAAGTAGAAAGGCTCAGCCTGTCGGAAGGTTCTCACTGAAACGGGATAGCAAACAATAATATATTAGTCTAACTGATAACGCTAGAGGCGGAGCAATGAGCAGAATGGGTCCAGAAGCTGAAATTCAGGATGCAGGGAGTGTACCTTATTTCTTATGGAGATCTTTTACAAAGCACTTCATACCGTTACTTTTGCATCAGTTTCAATTCAAACATTTAGGCAAGTTTAGTTCAAATTAAGCGTGTTCTTCATGAAAATGTCCAAGTTAAGATTGGCACCAGACAATAAGATTAGCCGGATTTTTAAATGCATAACTTATATACTGAAAAACCTCTTCAACAGTCTTTTAACTGTCATTGTTCCAAAATCTTCATTAGAGACTCAAAATTTATGAAAGAGCTAATAATTGGTAGAGATAGCTCATTAAATTGAGAAATTCTTCAAAACAGACTGAAAATGATTCATATTTCATGACTTTTTGACAAAATGATCGGCTTGAAGTCTCTAATTTTACGATTCGGCTTGAAGTCCCGTCGGCTTGATGATTTTCACCCCCTCTGATTAACATATTTATTATAGGTGTTTTAGTTTTTGATTTAAAAGTTTCTTTATTGTTATGGGGGTTATTCTCATGCGCGAAAGACCGAATGAGCGAAAAAGTAATCTTATTAACGATCTCCTCCCCTTTCTTGAAAGGGGGATTGTTAAGTAGATCCCGTAACTCTTTTTAATTAATTCTGTCTGTCCGAACTTTTTGCAACTCTCTATATTACTAATACTTTTACGAAGTGAAGCCTCGTTATAAGTTTACAACTTGAATTTTGTTCTAGAAAGATCAAAAGAAATGAATGCAAAATGTCTAATAAGGGACTCTCTGATTTGAAGAAAAATCGAAAGACTGTCTGTGTCTATACCCGAGCAGTTTCGCCATTCCTGTCTTGAATCATGAGCTGCTCACCACAACGTAATTTCAAAGTGATACTTGTTATCGTCCTTGTGCTAGTAGTATTTTTATTTCACTTTTGTTTATTTGATCAAAAAACTTTCACATTATCTTTGCTGGGTTTTTCAACTATTGATTCAAAATCTCCAACTTTTCCTGTTTACGATGTAGTAAATCCACAATGCCAGAAATATATAACTTTGGAGCCATTTACCTCGTCAAACTCTGAAGATCATCAGGCCTTTTTTCTCGAAACTTCTGGAAAGTCTTACTTGACAGGTCGACAAGCATGCTCGGTTGAATCAGCAGCCAAAGCTTCTGGACTTTCTCTGAAAGTCATCTTCAAGTCCAGATATGTAGACCTCGCTAAAAGTAAAAGTTTTTGCGACCTTTATTTGAATTACCAAAACGTGCAATTTTACACGATCGATTTTGGGGAGTTGTTTGAAAATACTCCAGTTGTTGGAATTGAAAAGAAAGTGGAGATCGTCGTGGCGCATGGAGTCTGTCACTACAGCGACATTGCACGTCTAGGTACACGTATGATAGCCAGCGGGTCCCTCTATTAGGCGCAGGGCTGCATCTAGCATTTTCTCCAGAAAGTTATAAGTTTGGAGCCATTTACCTCATCAAATTTTCAGCACCGCAGGCAAAATTTTGAAAAAACAGGCGTTTTTAGTCACTTTTTGAAAAATTTCTACAAAAAATGGCGTTTTTTCGACGCGCACAATTCCCCCTCAAATTTATTGAATATTGGCGCCAAAACGCCTTAAGAAAACTTTTAGAGTGTCAAATCGGATATCTCAAAATAGTACAAAGGACGTTTTAAAGGACGTTGATTGGTTGCGATGAGAATAACCCTCTCCAGTTTCTTAGTGGGGAATTGTTCACTCGGTCTTAAAGCTTTTGAGGCGATTTTCATAGATCTTTTTACGAGGCCCCAACTATCATACATGTACCCACATTTAGCGTTAATGTACAAGTATGGCGGATTCTACCTGGACATGGACATAATAGTCATTAATAGCTTGAGGAGTCTGTCAAATGTGTACGCCATGGAATACAGCAAGCCAAAGTAACGTTTGATGAACAGGGCTTTTCTCTTAGTGAAGTTCCATTTGTACCAACGTTCACTTGGGGACCGGCCTATAGCATGTGGACCGATTAGCATGCCTATGTAAAAGAATGGAGTTTAAAAATTCGCTATTCTTTTGCACAATTTGTTTGCTCAAAATTGCGATTTTGAACAGCGTGCACTAAGCCGAGTTTTTAATCAGGCGATTTTGAAATTTTTAATCTCCTAACAAATGAAGTGGATTTCAAATTTAGGCTGATTTGCTTTATGTCTGAAAGCATACGCAGTTAAAGCACTTATCGCATGCTAATTGGATTATATGCTAATCGCTACTTCCCCGTTCACTTGCATCGAAATGAAAAACGAGTCCCATTTGTACCAAAAATATTCAACTTGATTTTTGATTGGTCAAACTTGATTAGTCAAATTTTGAGCCAACGATTTATAAAATGAATTTTCTACTGCTCAAACAGCATAAAACCAAACAGCATAATAGTGTACGCCGCAGTCGGGCCAGCGTGTTGCGAGCTTGGCAACAGACTGCAGGACTCTATACAAAATAGATTTTGATCGGCATAGTTTGATCGGCATAGAGTTTGATCGGCATAGATTTTTTGGCCAATGAATGTTTTTGGTACTATGCGAATCCCTCTGTCACACTTGGTTTTTACCGGGACCCCTCTATCACATTTGTATTATATGAAAAATGAGCATTTTCCCTGTAACTGCTCACCTTCGAAAGGAAGTTTTATGAAACTTCTTTTTGTAAATACGAAAAAATATTTTCTCTCCCCCAATCTCGCACAAGCCTCAATTTAAGGGTAAAATGAGTGTTTCAAGGTTAATTATGCGCACCAAAATGTTTGCCATGGCCCAAATTAGTCCACGAGTTAAGTTTTTGAAGAATTGTACTATGTCAACAAAAAAATGCTTAAAAAAATTGGCGTTTGAGGGAAAAGGAAAAAGAGGCAAAACCTCAATTTTACGATGTAATATGGTGCCAGATAGTTGAGAGTTCCATCAGCGAATCAATCTTGCATTTTTTGAGCAGTGTTCAAGCACAAATTGACCAACAAACTACCCGGGTTGACCTCCATACACTAAAAATGTTGGTCACTCCATCAATGAAAAATGCTAGTCGTACATTTCTCGTATATGGGAATTGTATGCGTAGCATTTTTCCATGATGAAATTGTATGTGATCATATATGGGAATTGTATGACTAGCATTCTTACATAATAAAACTGTATGGTCATAAATGAGAGCAAGACTGCTCGTATCCGGGCGAAGCCCTGAATGTTCCGACTGCCTTTTAAGGTTTTATGGAGCAGTAATAACATCAATTATGGCAATTAAGCTTCTTTCAACCAATTTGGAATAATTTTAGCTTACGCGTTAATAGCGCGAAATATATTGCGCGTTAATTGTCCCAAATTGGCCAAAATGGCAATCTTTAAACCCCCATAACTTTACGAAAAATGATCACAGGTGAAAAAATTGAGCTCAGGACATCAATACCTTTTGAATGATAAAAAAAATTCCGTCAAAAATGGCTAGATAAAAAGTCGAAATTTGTCTGAAGAAAAAAAAACCCACCCCGAGCACAAATAATCCGTTACTTTCGTATCGAAAGTCGGAACAATTATAACTTTTTATTTATAACGTAATCAAGACTCAGTTTTCTACAGAAAATCATAAAAAATCACATTAGGGTTGTATATAAACCAGTACTATGGGTTAAGGTCATAGATGACAAAATTTCTAAAAATTCTGTCAAAAAACAAGGCTACGATTTCCAACCGCGGAATTGTTCAAAGTAGAAGCATTCTAGCCTATACAAAACTTTAAGTTTTTTGTTATGTTTTCATGTTATCTTCATCATGTCATCACAGATGGCCAGTATTCTGATACACATTATCTGCGAGTATATTACCAATAAACCAATGAGTTTTTCTCATTTGAGAAAATATATGACATTTGGTCTCCAAGACAAACGCAAAAACTTGCAGCGAAGTTCAAATATTATTTATCTATTTTTTTAAGTTGCACTTAAATAATGCAATTATTTAAGTTACATTTATGACCATACAATTTCATTATCGAAGAGTGCTAGTCGCAAAAATTTCATATATGGGAATTGCTAATCATATTGTTTTCATGTAATTTTTTAAATGTATGGGCCATTTATGAGAATTGTACGACCAGCGTTTTTGGTCAACTCGGGCATCCATTGTCACAGGGTACCTTTTTTTTCTTCCAACGTTTAACTTGGCATCTACTGAGCTACTTTGATACGCAATTCAAAAAATAACTGTTTTCACAAGTAATTTGCAAGTCTCGTCAAATTGGCCGTTGCTTATGGACCAAACCAAGAAGAATTCCTAACAAGGCTCCGGCTAGTGGCGACCTGAGAAGTATATGGCGCGGGTTAATCAGTGCTTACTGATTCAGTTGGAATCATCACCTGGAGAATCGCTAGGAACGACAAAAAAGTTCAGATAATTTAGCAACGATGAAAAAAAGTTCAAATAGTTTATCGAAGATGAAAAAAGTTCAGATAGTTTTTCAACGATGAAAAAAAAAACGCATCGCAGCTGATTACAGCGAACCGCTGTCGTGCAACGTTATGTGGTTGTTTTTCCGAAGTGGGGTAATTTGCCTTGTCATAGCCTACACGGATCGCAAAGATTAGGCTCATTACATGTCGTTTGAGCATAATTTGAGGCACTTGAAATGCGTAAAACTTGGCCTGAAGTTCTTTGGGTTTTGATTCCACTTGATTTGTTATCACTGACCCAATAATTGAACCTTAAAACAAATAGTATAAGTTGAATTAGCAGCTGGTTGCCTTGTAAATAGAACAGAAAACTTTCGACTCATTCTAGTTTTTTTTGTGTGGAGAACTTGATTTTGCATGGAAAAAACAAAAGGCACACCTTAACGCAAAGTTTCCCCCGCTTTCAATAGTCCGAGCAAAATACATTTTGGACAGTGCTTGAGACTGGTATAGACCGCGCTCGACGATTGGGCATGGTATGGGAATGTTTCGACAGGTTCCAACTGAATTAAAGAGACTTTTCGGGTTTGATTTCCATCCAAAAAAGCCTCTAGCGAACATGCAGAAATTAAAACAAGGATAGCCGATTATTGTGCAAGTAGCACAAAATGTTCTTGCCATAGTCTTTAAAAAGTCTATGGTCGGAGCATTTTTAAAGACTATGGTCGGAACATTCTGTGCTAGATTATCATTGATATCAATGATTACTGTGCTTTAGCGTGGGGTGATAAAAAAATCTGATGTATAAATCTGTATTTTAAGCATATCTGACATTCATAGTAAAAAAGGCAAATTAGACACTAGTTCCTCCCTATTTTCAATGATCAGAATTACAAACAGTAAGAACTCGATTATGGGGACCCATTATGCTTCTCGTAAGTTGAGAATAACACTTTTTTTCTGACAGATATACACCATCTGGATTATGTCACCGGTCGGGCAGTAGACTTCAAAGCTCACATCAGATCTTCAACGGCAATTTTCACTTGAGTAAGGGTCACGATCTACCATGGCGGATACTACAGCACGTGAACAGGACTTATGACGTCACACAGAATAACAGACATATGATTGGACCAGAAGTGAGCAGTTCTGTGATCAAAAACATGTACAATTTCGAACGCTTCTACAATGGGTTCTATCCTAGTCCTACTGGTACGTACAGCTTCAAGAAGCATTTCCCGGGTCGAGGTCCCAGACTCATGTCCAGACTTGCATAGTCGCGCCGAGAGTTTGAGGCTGGAAAGCCTGGACATGAGTCGCGCCGTGGGTCGCGAAAGCCTGGACATACCAAAATTTGGTCGCGAAATTACTGCGGATTAATTGATTGCGAATAAATTTCAACCCTTAAAAAGTTCATGTGGAAAACCTGACTTCTGCAAAAAGTAGTTTTTCCAGTATTTAGTCGAATGACTGAGAAATGGGAAGTTTAGTCTACAGTTGAACAAAAAATGTGACGCAGTATGGACAGTTTTTTGAAAAATGACGAGTTTCTTGAACTTTTGCCAAAGTTGTGAGCGTTTTTCTTAGTTTGGTACCTAGTAACGAATATCTCCCCTATAAAGAAATAAGGAGTAGGCTTTAAAGATGTTTAAGGCTTTAAAGTGTTTTTTTTCTTCAGGAAATAGCATTAGCAACCTCACCATTCTTCCTGGAACCGCTTTTTTACCCGCTGATTTCAAGGAGATCGGTCGTTTGCTGTGGCCTCGGACGGCCAACACAGCCTTGGACTGGGAACATCTGTTCAGATGCAGTTATATGGTGCATTTTTACTCCAACCGGTGGGGCAAGTTGAAAGTGACGGGGGATGCCTCAATCGAAGCCTACTCCTACTTGGGCCCAAAATACTGTCCATATTCTTTCAAACATTTGCTAGAGTTCTAAGCCATATCAACCTTCATCTATCAATATGCTCATAATTACAGCTATGAATTTTATAGCAGAAAGTGGTGATCAATCAATACAGTACATTTATCTACAATTATAAATTCGTTCATTCTGTGGGTTTTTACCCGCAATTTTTGCCATTTAAATTTTCGAACGCTGTTTTTTTTGTATTGATGAAAAATAGATTAAGTTTATTCCTCTTAATCAAGAGCAGAACAGTAGATGAAATATTGAAGCTGTAAGAGCTGGCTTAGGCACAAGACAGGTATTTGTTGCAAACGAGTTTGATAAGTAACTTCAAGAAGAAGTTATGATAATTGAAAAATCCCTCTGGATTTTCCGACAGCAGCAAAGCATCAGAAGTTTTTTTTACAACATATCAGAATTTTGCGCTTTCACCTCTGATTGTTCGACAATAATTGGAAAAAGTTATACCAAAAGGTGGACAACTTTCGCATAGTAAAGGTGTTGAAATAATTTTCCCCCTGTGTAACAGTCAAAACTACTTTTTAATTGAGTAGAACGATCGCATTAAGTCGAAAGTTTTGAATAGTTTTTAGAAAAGCAGGACAATTTACCCTACTCCAATCTACCTTATTCCTATGCCTAAAAGGCGCTCTTGGCGCCAATATTTAGTGATTTGGATGGAAAGCGTGACCGAAAACACACAATTTTTTGGTAAAAAATTTTCAAAAAGTGCCGAAAAACGATATATTTCTCTGTTTTTTCAACAATTTAACTGCAGCACAAAAAGTTTTCGTCAAAATAGGGTCTTTGTACTGCCGATTTGATTGATTTAAAAAAATTCAACAAAAATTTGAATATTTTTTGAAATTCCGCCCCCACCCCCGTGAAAATTCTAGATCCGCCCAGCCTATTCCTCTTTATCCTATGCAATTTTACCCTTTATACCTATTAAACTATATGTTTTATTCCACTCTACACACCGTGTCGTATCGAAAATACCCCGCGAAGAGTCATACAAAATGATCGTTCTTACGTCTATTAACGCAATTTCGAACTAGTTATTGTTGCGAATTTTGTAACCAAAGTAACGGAATATTTGTACTCGGGGTGGTTTTTTTTACTTCAGACAAATTTCGACTTTTTATCTAGCCGTTTTTGACGGAATTTTTTAAATGTCATTCAAAAGGTATTATTGTCTCGAGCTTAAATTTGGAGAGATATTTCACCTGTTATCATTTTTGTAAAAGTTATGGGGGTTTAAAGATTGCCATTTTGGCCAATTTGGGACAGTTAACGCACAATATATTTCGCGCTATTGACTCGTAAGCGGAGAGTTAATCCGTCTTTGAAATCGTTCCAAACGGGTTGAAGGAAGCTTATTTGCCATAAATTATTTGTTTCTTGGAGCGAAATCTATCACTTTGTACTTTATACGCCGTATGGGGAGGGGGGGGGGGATAATTTTTACAAAAAATCTCATATTTTGAACTTCTTTCTTCATTTTGTTATATTACATTTATTTTTCTAATGTTAATATTGCTCCATAGACCTTATCAGACAGTCAGAACGTTCAAGGTTTTGCCCTGATACGAGCAACTTTTTTTTTTTGCTTGAAATTAATTTTGAACATTGTTTTTGCAGGCTTAAACAGCCGATTAGATTCTCCGCGAGTTAAAGAAGTTGGAATTTTTGCGCAGATAATTTATTCTTAATTGGCAAAACTGCTAACTTTGAAACTCCCCAAATTTTCAGAAAAAAATGACGCACGGGAAATTTTTTTTTTTGAACTTGAGCTTAGGAAGTTAACATCGTCCAATTGATAATCATACTTCCGTGAAAACTTGTTTAAAAGTCGAATAATGACCGAAGATGAAAAAAGCACAGCTTGCGTATTCCACTTTTTTTAAAATAAATGAAATAATTTCGCGACTAACTTGATCTGATCATTAGGCAAAATAAACTGAAGAGGCAAAACAAACTTATTCCACCATTTTAAATGGTATCAGAAGTAAGCCATGTATCCTTTCAGGGAGGTATTAAAAAAACTTTTCTAAAAACTTTCAAAGTAGCAATCATTCACAGTTTAGAAACTTAGAAATAAACTTATTGGACATGGAATTCATTAACTACAACACCATTTGATATCATTTAAATACTTATTTGAGCAGAAAAATTATAAATTTGTTAAGATACACTTGAAAAGTTGACTATAGCCACGAAAACAGAGCCTCGAAAAGCTGGAAACAAAGTTATGAGTATCTGTTAAAAAAAGTTTGCTAATTGTTGATAATAGGAAACCAAAAATGTTGATTAACTTACAAAAAATGGAAAAAAGCAAGTTGCAAAAGTCTGTTGCAAAGTCTGGATAACAGCTAAAACCCAAAAATCATAAAATTATCTTCTATTTGCCTATGAAAAGCGCTTCTTGTTTTACCAAAAAACGTCAGCTTTGGTCAACAAAATAATAATTCCAAAAAAACTAAACTGCAAAAAATAACAAAAAAATGCGCTTGAAAGGTTAACTTTTTCCCATGATTTTTGAGTACCATTTGACCACCGAGTTGCAGTTTATGTACCAGCAGATTTGGGGGGAGGGGCGGACGCTCCCCTCTCCCCACTTCAGGGATTGGATCCACTGCCGACCCAAATGATCCCCCTTTGTACTATTTTGCTTTAGCCATTTTTGGCAGACTGACCCTAAAAGTTTTCTGAAGGCGCCTTTGGCGCCAACATATACTAATTTTGAGTGGGAAACGCGCGCCGAAAAAACGCAATTTTTTGGTCAAATTTTTCCAAAAAATAAAAACGCCTTCGGCGCAGGAAGTTTGGTCAAAATAGAGTTTTTATAGGGATTTGGTAGAGCTATTGGTCGACCTAGAAAAAAAGTAGACAAAATTTTCAATTTTTTTTTGAAAACCTTTACGCCCATCCCCTCCGATCGAGAAAATCTTAGATCCGCCCCTGCACTCTAGTGTGATTGAAGAAGCTCTACAATTTTCAAGAAACAATGACTTTTTAAAATACTTATTCCAATTTTTTTAATATTGATCACAGACCAGTTAAGGAAGTGTACACATTTAAATGAATCAACAAAATCAGTCGAAACAAAACATTCATCAAAACGATCCGTGTTTTTTCTATATTGGAACTGAACAAGGCTGAAATGTTGGTAATCATTCTGAGCATTGAAGTGGTGGGGAACTTTGTATTCGGGTGTGATAAGTTATTCTCCTTGCAAAATCAGGTCAAACAAAAATCATCGGATTGGTTGAAAAGCTTTTCATTTTAAAGGCCTGTTTTCCGTAATACGAACGACAAAAAACTTTGCAAAAAATTGTTTCAATGCTGAGACAAACAGGCTGGAATCTTTTCGAAATTTTGTATCGCCATTTTAGAGTAAGAAAACAGCATTAGAAATTCAAAAACTTCAGAAACAAACGTTCATTTTTTATGGTTTTTTAGTCTTGCTTTGACAAAAATTGCTGATCGATTTGCCTTCTTTATTCAAAAAATTTTCAAGAATATGGTAGGAACATTCTGCGATACTTGCACAGCTACCAGTTTTCCTTGTTTCTAACTGCTCTTGGAGCGAAATCTATCACTTTGTACTTTATACGCCGTATGGGGAGGGGGGATAATTTTTACGAAAAATCTCATATTTTGAAATGCTTTCTTCATTTTGTTATATTACATTTATTTTTCTAATGTTATTATTGCTCCATAGACCTTAACAGACAGTCAGAACGTTCAAGGTTTTGCCCTGATACGAGCAACTTTTTTTTGCTGGAAATTAATTTTGAACATTGTTTTTGCAGGCTTAAACAGCCGATTACATTCTCCGCGAGTTAAAAAAGTTGGAATTTTTGCGCAGATAATTTATTCCAAATTGGCAGAACTGCTAACTTTTAAACTCCCCAAACTTTCAGAACAAAATGACGCACGGGAAATTTTTTTTGAATTTGAGCTTAGGAAGTTAACATCGTCCAATTGATAATCATACTTCCATGAAAATTTGTTTAAAAGTCGAATAATGACCGAAGATGAAAAAAGCACAGCTCGCGTATTCCACTTTTTTTTTAAATAAATGAAATAATTTCGCGACTAACTTGATCTGATCATTAGGCAAAATAAACTGAAGAGGCAAAACAAACTTATTCCACCATTTTAAATGGTATCAGAAGTAAGCCATGTATCCTTTCAGGGAGGTATTAAAAAAACTTTTCTAAAAACTTTCAAAGTAGCAATCATTCACAGTTTAGAAACTTAGAAATAAACTTATTGGACATGGAATTCATTAACTACAACACCATTTGATATCATATAAATATTTATTTGAGCAGAAAAATTATAAGTTTGTTAAGATACACTTGAAAAGTTGACTATAGCCACGAAAACAGAGCCTCGAAAAGCTGGAAACAAAGTTATGAGTCTCTGTTAAAGAAAGTTTGCTAATCGTTGATAATAGGAAACCAAAAATGTTGATTAACTTACAAAAAATGGAAAAAAGCAAGTTGCAAAAGTCTGTTGCAAAGTCTGGATAACAGCTAAAACCCAAAAATCATAAAATTACCTTCTATTTGCCTATGAAAAGCGCTTCTTGTTTTACCAAAAAACGTCAGCTTTGGTCAACAAAATAATAATTCCAAAAAAACCAAACTGCAAAAAATAACAAAAAAATTCGCTTGAAAGGTTAACTTTTTCCCATGATTTTTGAGTACCATTTGACCACCGAGTTGCAGTGTATGTACACGATCTACCACCAGCAGATTTGGGGGGAGGGGCGGACGCTCCCCCCTCCCCACTTCAGGGATTGAATCCACTGCCGACCCAAATGATCCCCCTTTGTACTATTTTGCTTTAGCCATTTTTGGCAGACTGACCATAAAAGTTTTCTGAAGGCGCCTTTGGCGCCAACATATACTAATTTTGAGTGGGAAACGCGCGCCGAAAAAACGCGATTTTTTGGTCAAATTTTTCCAAAAAATTACTAAAAACGCCTTCGGCGCAGGAAATTTGGTCAAAATAGGGTTTTTATAGGGATTTGGTAGAGCTATTGGTCGACCTAGAAAAAAAAAAGACAAAATTTTCAAATTTTTTTTGAAAACCTTTACGCCCACCCCCTCCGATCGAGAAAATCTTAGATCCGCCCCTGCACTCTAGTGTGATTGAAGAAGCTCTACAGTTT